AAAAAAAGAAAAAAGTTTCTACCAAACAAAAAAAAAAAAACAAAAAAAAGAAAAGCAACCAGAACCAAAAATCACCCCAAAAAAATCCAAACACAAAAAACCCAAAAAAAAAAAAAAACAGTCATTTTGGAAAGGGAACCTAGCGTCATCATAAAAAAATAAAAAGATAAGCAAAAACTTTGGTTTTTTTTTAATGGAGCCAAAGGGTTTTGCTTAGATCTAAGGAGATTGGGGTTGTTTTGGGTGAAAAGGAGGTTGGAACGGGGTAGAGGAAATTGGGAGGAATAGCTAGGTGTTTTTTTTTTTTTTAAGCTTTTTTGACAACCAGCACGGTAATCAATGACCAGTGGCTGTGAAGGCACAACTCCAGATTTTGGGTTGCGACAGAAAGCTCTAAAAGTTTTTTTAAGTTGAAGGTTTTTTTTTTAAATAGAGGAAAGAATAATTTGAAAAAAAAAATGACCTTTTATAAGCTAAAAAAAGGTTAAAAAAAATAAAATGACACTGTTTGGAACCCCAGGATCTGTGCGCAAACCAACCACCTATCCCAGGGTCTGCGCACCTGGCTCAACAACCCACATTTTCCTTCAGCCCAGACTGGTCCAATTGAACCGTTATCGGACCACCCTTGAACTAGCCTAACCAGCTTGAACCCCTTACAAATTGGCCTGAGCCACTAAACTGATTGGTTTATGTATTTTTTTTGTATTTTTTTATTTTCTTTACCATTTTAAGTTTTTTTTTAGTTTATTTTTTATTTATGCATGTTTAGAATGTCAAATTTTCTAAAATAAATATTTTTTGCTTTTTTTAAAAAAATAATAATAATAGAAATGGAAAAAAATAAATAATAAAAAATTAAAGTTTGAATTCTTAATAATTTAAATTCCATTAAAAAACTAAAATAAACTTTATAAATAATAAAATAAAATAATTAAAAAATAATAATACCAATAATAAAATGAAAAGAAAAAATAAATAAATAAACAAATTTTTAATGATTTTTAAATTCTTCTATTTCTCTAAAAAAATATAAAATAGTAAAAATAAATAAAAATGAGAGAAAATAAATTTTTATCCATAGACGAGATTTTAAAGTATTATGAGTAGCAATGCCTACAAAATCTCTAGGTAAAAAAAAATTTTTTTAAATACTACCAATGTATTAAAGTATTTATAGAAAGTTTTCAATATAATAAAATTTTTTTTCTATAAAAAAAAATACTAATTAAAAAATATATAAAAATAATTAGAATTGGGGGAAAAAAATTTTGCCTTATGATGACATTTTAAGGTATTTTGAATAGTGATACCTTAAAAATCTTTATGTGAGAAATTTTTTTTAAATACTACTAGTGTATTAGAGTATTTATAAAAATTTTTAATATAATAAAAATTTATCTTTTCTTCTAAACAGATAATAATAATAATAATAATAATAATAATAATAATTATTATTATTATTATTATTATTATTAATAAAACTAATAAAATTTTTTTAAAAAAAATAAAATGTGTGCATCAATATATTATCATTCACATTACATGCATGATCTTGTTTTTATGAAAAATAAATACGAGTTTTCGAGGATAAAGTTCTAAAGTATTTTGAAAAGCGATTCTAAGAAATTTCTAGGTAACAAAATTTTTTTTTAATATTATCAATATATTGAAATATTTTAAGAATTATTTCAATAAAAATGTTCTAATTTATTTTTCTCAAATAAAATGAAATAATAATAAAAAATAAATTAAAAAAACCAAAATTGATAAATAAAAGAAGTCAAGAAAATTATTTCTAAACACTGAAACTAAGATAATTTTTATCAAAATTAAAAGGATAATATATAATTAATTATTATCGTTTTAAATAAACGTTATGAGTGTACTAATCATTCTTTATGCATAACTTATTTTTAAACTCAAACTATTTTGTAAACTTTAAAATTATTTTTTTAATAAATTTTAATTAATTTTAATATTTTTATTAAAAAATTAAATTTTAATAAATGATCAATCACATTTAATCAAATAAAAATTAATAAAAACTTTTTTTTTATTTTTTAAATTTGTTGAACATCTCTAAAATCGTTATGTCATATATAATAGGATTTGTGAAATATTAAATGATATATTTTTAAAAAAATGAATCAAATTATTTTAAAAGTACAGTCCTTCGTATCAATTCAATTAATTTTAGATTTCATTCCAAAAATATTTTTCAAAAATCGAATTTTAGTAGACAAAAATAGTTTTTGTCGATGGGACCAATAGAGTACATATTGACTTGACATAACTAATTAATTAAGCCTTTTTGGGTATAAATTCTTGTCCCATTGATGCCCACTAAAAAAAAAAGACCTGTTTTTGTTGCGAATTGCGGCCAAAGCAAACATAAAGGGAAGAGGAGGAAATGTCATATGTAATGATTATTTGGCCTTTTGGGCATTTGGGGCTTAATTTGGCTGCTCATTATGAAAATCATTTTTAGCCGAATCTAAGCAACAAAATAATTATACTAGTAAAGGAGAAGAATATTTGAGTACATTTCAAATTCAGCTTCTTCGTTATTCTTCCCATGAGTTTCGTTTCATTTCTTTTAAAATTTTATTTGGCATTAGTAGCTATGATGCAGAACATTTGGCGTGAGAATTATTGAATTTAAAGTAAAATATCTTTTTTATCACATAACTTCTAAAAATATGGTATTTGGTTACCGAATAATATGTTGACATTTTAATCACTTAACAGTTAAAAATTAATTATCATTTCATATGCCTTTTTGTATCAATTAATTTTAGTTACGTGACATTTTCCCGTCAGCTCTTATGCTAAGTAATCTTGTCTGTAAGCAAATACAAAATTTAACATTTAAAAGTCATCTAAAGTTAGTTTTTAAGGTTAATATCATTTATAATCCTTAAATTATAATAAAATATTTAATATAACACTTGAATTTTATAAATTTTTAATATGATATTTGAATTATGAATTTATTAATTAATATAATATTTATTTTTAATATGAATAATTTAAAATAATGATATATGACGAATAAAAAACTCAAATATTATATTAGTTAATAGATTTATAATTCAAGTATTAAATTTTTTTAAAATTTAAGTATTATATTAAACATTTTATTATAATTTAAAAATCATTAATAACATTAATTTTTTTTAATTTTATATTTTCATGTGACCAATATCACAATATTGGAAAGGAGATGATGAAAAACTTGCACGTAATCAAAGTTAATTTAAGTGAAAAATCACACGAGACAATCGTTAGTTTTAACGGTGGAAGTGACTAAAATGTTATATTGATAACTTAGCGTGGTCAAAACATGATTTCTCAAAATTAATTAATCAAAATAAAAAAATTTGAAATTTTAAATGACTAAAAAACAATTTACTCAATTGAATACGTGAAGTGCCATATTTGTATCTTGTAAATAATAGATGGTACATGTTTAGAAAACAAAAAGGAAAAATATCCAACATCTCTTGGAGGGAAAAAAGGTGCAAAAAAAGTATCACTCGGATAGTGAAAATTAATAAATATATATGTGTGTTCTCAAACATTTAGTATAGTAATTAAAGGTGTTTGAAGGAATATCAATGATTTGATTTTAAATTAAATTTTTATTTCTCTTCCTTACTTGTATCAAGATTTTACTTTTTTAATATATAAAAAAAAAAGATAAATATATATATGAACAATGTAATTGATTTTCACATCTCCTCAAATGACTAGACATTATATATAGCATCTTCAATCACGTGAGCAATCATATATAGAAACAATATGCATTTTTAAATCATTTAAAACCTGTCTTTCATATCCCCTTCCATGTTAAAATCCACTCAAGCCTATCTACAATTTTTTTTTTATAATTAAAATTATTAAAATTTAAATTTTGATTGATAAATTTAAAATTTAATATTTTATCAATAAGTCAAGCAATCGTGATTGTTATTTTAAATTATATATGTAAAAAAATCAATTTATATTGTATAAAATTTTTAAAAAATTACATATTTTTTAACTATTAATTTTAATATATCTAAAGGATAAAATTAAATTATTTTTTTCTTCGTAACTTGTTTTTCTTGTCCTTTAAATCCATTAAAATCAATAATTAAAAAATATATAAAAGTTTTTTAATTTTATATTATATAAATTGATCTCTTCTTATATAAATATAAATATATATATACATATATATACCTATATATATATATATATGTTATCTATTCAATGTTAATATTAGTTTTCACAGTCAATGAGGATTAATCAAGTGCATAAGGCTGAAATCCATATGTTACTAAGAATTATAGAATCTGTCACAACATTATAAATTCAAGGCTTAAGAGTTGATTATATATATATATATATATACATTATATATATATATATATATACACACATAAAAGATAAACGAATCTGATTTTTTTTTTTCTTTTAGAAACAGAATCAGAATACCAATCCCCAATTATAACTAAACCCAACATTGCAAAGATACTAAAATCTAGCTCCTTCTAAAGCCAACTTATGTCCATGTACATTTTATGGTCCCTTTACCCCTTTCACTAAAAATAGAGATACGATAATTTATATTTTTATCATATAAAAATATTAATAATTTATATATTTATATTATATTTTATATAAAAATTATATATCATAATTCATATTTATAAAAAAATAATTTTTTTATTTTTTATTTTTATTAAATTTATATATAATTTTACTAAAATTTTAATTTTTATCATTTTCATATTATTTTCGTACCTTATTTTAAATTATCAACTCGCGACTTATTGAACCTTTTTAACTTTTGCTGGGCCAGGGTGAAGGGATTTCTCCGCTATATAAACCCCTTCTTGGCCCTTTCCATAGCATTGTCACTCAAACCTTCAACCTCCTTTTCCCCCTTTCTTTTCCTTCTCTAGCTTGCTCTTTTTTCATTTGACTCCTCGAGCATTAATTCTTTCTCAATGGAGAGAAACCCCATGGGCAGGCAGCTTGCAATCATGAGGCAATCCCTGTTTGATCAGGTTTGTTTTCCTCAAGATTTGCTGTTCGCAAAACGAAAAAATATGCTCTGCACACACACTAACAGAGAAAAGTTTTCAAAAGCGCAGTAGTCTTCGAGACCACCCCATCAAGTAACCAAAAATGCAAAAAGATGTATACTTTTTTTTATAAAGGATGCCGGAGATAATAAGAAAAATGATTGCGAGTGCTCAGATTTGAATCTCAAACCTGTTCAACGTCACCTCTAAAGGTGGCTACAAGAATCTACTGAACTAAATAGCAGGTTTTGCTTACTTTTTTTTTTTTTTTACTACACCTTTTTCCCAAGGGTATAGGAAAATTAACCCGGAAATGGTGTTACACTTGTTTACGCTAGTGAAATATTCAATTAGAAGTCTGATTTATGATTTAAACTATCTGCCCTAAAAATAAGAGTAAGACGCTGAAGAAACTAAAAAGAACTAGCCCTGAATCATATATGCATCTGCATGCACATCTAAATTCCTATCTGTTACTCCTTCAAAGTTTTATTATGTTCATTGCTAACTTATTTATGTGGCCATAACTAAACACTAATTGTTATTTGATCATTGCAGGGATATCTTGATGAACAATTCATCCAGTTGGAGGAACTCCAAGATGATGCTAACCCGAATTTTGTGGAAGAAGTTGTCACCTTATACTACCGCGATTCAGCCAGATTAATTCTTAACATAGAGCAAGCACTGTAAGTTCAAATTTCTACTACTTATAATATAATAACAACAAAATATGAGGATGATGATCATGAGATATGGTGATTATACTATTTTTGTTCCTTTTTTTTTTTTTTTTGGTTTGCTGTGCTCTTCAGGGAGAGGAAACCTTTTGATTTTAATAAGTTGGATGATTATATGCATCAGTTCAAGGGAAGCAGTTCAAGGTAATAACATGCTACTAAAATCTTTTTATTAAAAAAAAAAAAACAAAATTATCTGAAAAGAGTCAGCAATCTTGTATAACAAGACTTATTATAGGTAATGTCAAGACATGAAGTATATTCTATGCTGGCTTTAACAGAACCAATTATTTATTTTCATTCTTTGTGATTGGTTGCAGCATTGGAGCCAAAAAGGTGAAAGCTGAGAGCACATTGTTTAGGGAATATTGCAAGTCTGGAAATGGAGAAGGGTAATCCATCTGCCCCTTGATTTCTTGTTATCAAAATCTATCTAATACTATATATTATGAACAAGACCACAGCAAGTTTGGCCCTTCTTGAAACCAACCTGTTTCAGTATTTGTAAGGTGTAAAATAACTTCAAATGCATATATTCATTGTAAAATATATGATTGCAAGCAGATGCACGAGGACTTTCCAACAACTGAAGAAAGAATATGCAACACTGAGAAAGAAGCTTGAAGCTTATTTTCAGGTTCATTATTTTTTTGTCCCTTTTTTTTTTTTTTTTTTTGAGAAATTGTGTTTATAACTTGTTAGCTAATTTTTTTTTTTTCACTTTTGATTATCTAAATGTTCAGATGGCAAGACAAGCTGGGCCAATGGAGACAGCATGTCGCCCCAAATAAGAAGAGAAATACATACGAGCCTATGACTGCAATGCGGCAAGAAATATGTATTGTGGTTGATGAATTTGTTACTGTTTGTATGCCCCAAATTCACCTAATTAGCTTTGTAGGCCCTCTTAGAGTTTGCTTGTAAGCTATGTTTTACTTGGAGTTTTGTGAATGAAATGCTTTAGTCTATTTTATAGCTTAATCTATCAATATTATATATACTTTACTATCCATTTTAATAGAAATTATTATTTAAATTTTTTAAGATTTTATTTTTAAAAAATTAAATCTTATTATTTGAATAAAATATTTGGATGCATAATTAAAAAATTTATAATATTATTATGCATGTCATTTTATGATTAAATTTTTAAAAATTCAATAATAATACACAATCTTATCGTAATAACAGGATTCCCATAATACTATCAAAGAGACCCATAATGTTTTTAGAATAGGATACACTAATTCAAAACAAAAAATTATATATTTATTCCACAAATAAATATATATATATGTATATATATTATATCTCGCCCAGTAAATTGACATGTGTAGCTCCTCGATGCCTTATGCCCAAAGCCGAAGATGGGAGATATGGGATAGATGTTTATTGGTCTTCTTTATGAGCTTGGATTCAACGAGCCCAACCCAAGCTGGATTGGGCTTTGAATCATCATAATAGTTAGAAAAATAAAATTTTAGTGTGAAAATCTTTTAATGTGTCCAATTATATGTTTAATGAAATTTATGCGACTCCACATAAATAAATTAAAATAACAACGGTTACTTGAGTTTAATGATAAGCATATTTATTATTTTTTAAAAAAGTAAAGTTGGAATTTTTTTCAAAAATTATTGTTAACAAAAAAACATAAATAAATAAATACATACAAGATTTATTATAATGCATTAGCTTTACGCACACTTACCATATGATTCAAATATTAAATAATTTATTGTTAAAAAGTTCTTAAAAAAAATAAATATTTAAAATTACAATATTTAAATATAAAAGAGAAATTTTTGAATAAATATATATATATGCAATTACTTAAAAGTGAGAAAAAAAAATAGGGTCTATGATCAATTTATAAGTATTTAAATTAAACTTCTATTTTTAAGCAAAATTAAAAGCTTAAGATGCCCCTAAAAATATATATTCTGTATTTTAATATATACTTTGGAATAATTTTTTTTAAAATTAATTTGGTGTCCCTTGATTCGTGTCACCAAATTTACTAAAAAAATTTATTATTAATATAAATAAGTTGTAAATGAAAAAATAAAATCAAGATTCGCTTACAAAATGTTATTATATAATAAAAATTTATTCTCATTAGGATTATGTGTGCATATTTATATATATATATATATATATATTAATATAAATAACAGAAATTTTGAATAAATTAAAATTCTTAAAAAGATGAGGAATCAAATAGTTTGACAAAATTACTTACTAAAATAATAAATATAACTAAATTTAAATTGAACTTGAATTTAGAAAAAAAAAAAAAAGAATTTATCTCAAAAAAGTAGAAGAAATATGTAGAAAAAAAAAATCCAAGCTGAGTCAGCCGAATATAAGGGGCATACTCTTCCCTCCGTCGGTCGGACAAGGTTTTTCCGGTCAGTCACTCTTTTCTATTGTAGTTATACATATATCACTGCGCTTTCGTGATTTTTCTCCAATTGTTCAAATCCGATCAATCTAGGGCTTTTCATTACCCCCAAAATCTCTCTCATCAAAATTTTGGGGTTTTTCCTCCTCTCTTTGCTAGGGTTTCTGTACATTATAGCCTGACTTTGCCTTACAAAATTTCGCTTTCTCCTTTGTAATCTGTTTATTGTATTTGAAAAATTAGTTATTCGGATTCTCTCTCTCTCTCTCTCTCTCTCTCTCTCTTAGATATATATATTTGGAACCGGTTTTTGCTTTCAAGTATTTACAGGTGAGATTCCAATTCAATCTCTATCACTTTCTTAGGGTTTCTGGAATTGAAAACTTAAATCCTTGCTCTGTTTAGCTCCTTTAACGTTTTCTTTCCTTCAATTTTTTTTCTTGACCGGTAAAATTAAAATTTGGCGGTTAATTTTGCTAGGGTTTAGCTACTTCAGCTGAATTTTGGAAATTGGGATATCAAACTTTTGAACTTTATTCCTTGTTCCTCTAGGGTTTTTCTTGAGCAGGATAAAGAAAAATAGCAAATTTCAAATTTGAGTGACTACCCAGTTCAAAGGTTTTCAATTTGGATCAGTTTCTGCAACAAAACTTAAGAGGAAAAAACCCAGAATTCAAAATCTCAACTTTTCTCTTTTACTGTCCTCTTTTTTTTTTTTTTTTGTGTTCTTATTGATTAATTTCTTTTTTTTTTTATACTGTGATCAAGGAAATAGAAAACAAAAAGAATGGCCTCATATAAGCCATTCCCACCTCCACCACCTCAAAATCAAAACCTTCTTCCACTTCAACAACAACAACAACAACAACAACAACATTATGGTCAAAATTACAATCAAATGAATCCGAATTCAAACTATCATTACCCTTCTTCAAGACCGCCCCAACAACAACAACACCCACCACCTCCACAGCAGCAATATTCTTATCCCCTTCCCCCTCCTCCACCTCCGGATTCTTCCTATCCACCTCCCCCACCCCCTCCTTTGCCTACAATGCCACAAACTACGATCAACTCACAGCCACCAATGTACTATCCATCTTCACAGTACTCATCACAATATGGTAATCAAGCAATGCAGCCACCTCCCCCACCGCCTCCCCCAAGTTCTCCGGGTTCTTCGATCCCTCCACCACCTCCCCCAAGTTCTCCTCCACCGCCACCTCCTCCAAAGGAGAGTATTGGGGATCAGGGGTTAAGTGAGCGCAGTAAAGGGGGGAATAGGGATTTTTCGGGGTCTGGAAGGCGTGAACATGGGCATTCCCATCATGGGATTGGAGGTAGAGAGCAGAAGCCGATATTGCCTCATCCGAAGAAGCCAAATGGACCTGCGGGAAGGGTGGAGACCGAGGAGGAGAGAAGGTTGAGGAAGAAAAGGGAGTTTGAAAAGCAAAGGCAAGAGGAAAAGCATAGGCAGCAGATGAAGGAGTCCCAGAAGACCCAGATGATGTCTTCTGGAAAAGGGCATGGTTCAATGGTAGGGTCACGAATGGGAGATAGGAGAGCTACACCATTTTTGAGTGGTGAGAGGATTGAGAATAGGTTAAAGAAGCCAACTACATTCTTGTGCAAGTTGAAGTGAGTATATGGAAATGCTTTTTCTTTCTTATTTAAAATTTATTTTTGGTTCTATGGACATATCAAATTTAGATATTGAATTTATTAAATTTCAGTGTTTATCATCTTGCCTTAATGAGTCTATCTAGTTTAGGTTGAATGATGTTGTCTCTTGACGTACTGGAAAATTTCTCCATTATCTTTTTGGCTTTTTTATTTTGGGATGAAAATCATTTATGACGATAGACTGGGGGGTTGCAGTCTGTAAACTATCCCAGCATGACTCATGACGGAGTTTGATAGAATAATCAATGCTGGATATGCCTCTGGTATTTGCATTCTTTGGTACAAGTGGGTTGATGGACCATGGATTGACTTGAAAATTATCAGTTCTTGCCCCTTCATGTTGTAGAACCCATGCATATTGCAGGTAAAGCAGTTTTGTGAACAATGGGAAGTGAATTTCTTTCAAATGTATCTATCAATTGTTCCTTGCATTTGGATGTATAGTGATACTTTTGGCTGAACACTTATTTGATCTTTATTTTCTGCATTCAATTTCCTTCTTGTTTTCCCTATATGTGATTTTTTTTTTCATGCAGGAAAGTGTTCCTTTTGATTATTTATTTGACTATTTAAATATGGCATATATTTATACTGGTTACTTCCTATAATGACAAACACTTATATTATGTAGATTCCGAAATGAACTTCCTGATCCAAGTGCACAGCCCAAACTCATGAATTTGAAGAAAGATAAAGATCGGTAAGAACTAGCCTTTTCACTTCAAAGAAAGATGACTATGTATTTTCTCTTTCAAAAATCCAAGATCCATTATATTTGTTGGCTGTCTGATTGAATGCATTTACCTTTTTTCTTTTATTTTTCTTTCAAGTGATTGTACATCTGTGATTATTATTTTTTGGTTTCTGGAGAAAAATATTCTTGGACTCATGACAATTTAAACATAAAAGCAGGTTTTAGTTTTTGGTCTTGATGTCATGATTTAATCCCTTTGTGAAATTTCTCATTAATATATACTTCTTCCTCACAGATTTACAAAATACACCATCACTTCCCTGGAGAAAATGTACAAGCCTAAACTTTTTGTTGAACCAGATCTTGGGATACCACTTGACCTGCTTGACCTCAGTGTATACAAGTATCATATTTCACCCTGCTTAAAACTTTTTCTTAGACCTTTGCTTTTTTATGCCATGGTTTTGATTATCTTTTTTCTGTTTGTTTAATTAGTCCTCCCAGTGTTAGACCACCTCTTGCCGCAGAGGATGAGGAACTCTTGCATGATGATGAAGCTGTAACCCCTATAAAGAAAGATGGTATAAGACGAAAAGAAAGACCCACTGACAAAGGTGTTTCTTGGCTGGTTAAAACACAGTACATATCTCCGCTTAGTATGGAATCAACAAAACAGGTAATTGCTAACTATCATGTTATGTATTTGATGTTCTTGACAATTGTTGTCGAAAGATGTGCCAAAACTAAATATATTGGCACTTGCAGTCTTTGACTGAAAAGCAAGCAAAAGAACTGAGAGAGCTAAAGGGAGGCCGCAATCTTTTGGAGAACCTTAACAATAGGTTTGTTTGATTTCAACCTCCCTTGATGAAGAGAAATTTTTATTGGAAGTAGATTTGTGAGAAACTTGTCTACTTTCACTTTGACATTAAAACATGGACAATTTTATCAGGGAAAGACAAATCAAAGAAATTGAGAAATCATTTGAAGCATCCAAGTTACGACCTGTCCATGCAACCAATAAAAACTTGGAGCCTGTTGAAGTTATTCCTCTCTTACCTGATTTTGATCGGTATGAAATTAGTTAGTGCTTTTCTGGCTTTATTATTTTTACTTTCTTTTCAGGCTCTCATACATGCAAAAAATCTTAATTGTGCATATTGTACATTTAATCTATCTATCAATGTGTCTTTTGGGAAGGAAAATTAATTTAGTAACTTAAACACATCTATACAAAATTTTTTAGGCCAAAACTGTATTAGGTAGGTGAATCTAATGTAGCTGCATGATTTTTCGAACCTATCATATTAGGTAAGCTTAGGGTATAGGATAGGCTTTGCTATGCTGGTTTGGATTTTCCTTCTTTAATTGGGAAAACAATATGAAAAAATTGAGATAAAGACAAAAAAAGCCTCAAGTCTTGAAGCTGCCTGCTACATCCCTGCATCTATTCTCAAACTCCTTTCCAACTTAAACCTTACACTTGTTTTTTGGAATAAATTTTGACTAGTTTATCTTCTCTATAAAACGTGTGAATTAGTATTTCTCACCTCGTTTTTCATCCAAATGCAACCAAACGGTATATTAAGTATTTATAAAGGTGTCTTTAACTATGCATGTGTAAGGGGGGATTCAGGAGTGGGGTAGTTGATTGTTTCTATATGAATCATGAGATAGGGATATCTAGGGATTTGATGGTTGATTAAATTATAGACCTTTAAGAATTCAATCATTAGTTATTGTGCTGCGTTATAACATACTCATATCTGTTGTCTTTGATGTGGTTGTAGCAGGTACAATGATCAGTTCATTATGGTGGCATTTGATAGTGCTCCAACAGCTGACTCCGAAGTCTTCAGCAAGCTGCATGACTCTGTTCGTGATGAGCATGAATCAAGGGTGAGTTAAGTAATGGTTTTATTCCATGCATGCAGCACATAGATTGTATATTCTGCTTATGAAATTAGTTAATATTCCTGAGATTAACATACCACAAGGATTACTATAGTTTATTGATATCTTGGCTTTCTGGTAAATAAGAATTCTGTAATCTGCAAGATTAGTGGTAGAATACATAATAAAAAGAATGTGCTGCGTAATTTAGTTATCATAAATGATAAAGGAAATAAAAGTTAATGAGATATTTGAATGAAATGTTTCAGGAATCTCTTTGCTGGCCCAAGGATTTCTTTGGAACCTGTTATTTTTACATTTAGTACATTTTGTTGGCATAGTTCCATGCTTTTTGTTGACATTAATCCGCATGCAGTCTCAAGGTCCTAGTCTCATCAATGAGTATGCCACAAATAGTTGATAGCATCGTTACTGCTTTTATTCAAGGATGATCATAGTTAACTCTGAAATGTTATTTTAGGCAATAACTTTAATTTCATGGTATTGTTTGGAAAGAAAAAGAAAGGCTTATATAAATTTACTAAGGAGCTGCTGGACACTGACATAGTGGCTGTTGATTCTATAAATTGAGTTCATTTGATATTGATTTTATTAGTTTGTTTAAATTGCAGGCAATTATGAAAAGTTATCTGGCACCAAGCTCAGATCCTGCTAATCCTGAGAAATTTTTGGCATACATGGTGCCTTCTCTTGATGAGGTAGATATGCCTTGCCTTCCACTAATAATATATGCATTAGCACCATAGTTTTTGCTGCATACAGCCTAACTTTCAATATGTGGATTCTAAGTGAATTGATTTTTCATATCATTTTTAATGGTGACAGTTATCGAAGGATATGTATGATGAGCACGAAGATATCTCATATTCTTGGGTTCGCGAATACCATTGGGATGTATGTAACTTGATTTTTGTAATATTACATTCCACAAGCTGGAGCTACCACTTAAATGGTCAAAAAAATCTTTCTGACCCCTTTACAGGTATGGGGTGATGATGCAAATGATCCAACAACATTCCTTGTTTCCTTCGATGAAGGAGAAGCTCGCTATGTGGTATAGACTCGAGCAAAATTTACATCTTTATCAATCCATTTGTGGTGAAATTTTTGTTGATTTCTGTGACATTAACTCACTGTTCTCATGTTGCAGCCTCTTCCGACAAAGCTTAATTTAAGAAAAAAGAGGGCCAGAGAAGGAAGATCCGGTGATGAGATTGAACATTTCCCTATACCTTCCAGAATAACTGTAAGGAGGAGATCAACAGTTGCTGCAATAGAACTGAAAGACCCAGAGGTATGGATACGGATATGAAGCCAGCTATAGTTGTTTGCACCACGATTATAATGGATTTTAGTTCTTATACTTTTTTTTTTTTCTGGTATGCGATCAGGTTTATTCCAACTCGAGGGGCGGTATGTCAAGCTCAAAGATAGGAAGAAGGCTAGATGCCGAAGACAGCCTCGGAAGACCTCAGAAGCTTGCACGACACCAAGATGTTGATCAGTATAGTGGAGCTGAGGATGACTTGTCTGATTGATTGGTATATGAAAATGGTAGCCTTTCAGAAGTTTTCTAGGAGTTTTGTAGCTGCTGGGTACTCACTGACCCTGAGTTACTTCTGTAAGCCACAACCAAATAAATCAAGATAGCTAGATATCCCCCATATTTGTGTTCCTAACATATATTTGTTTCTGGATCGTAGTTAGATTCAGTAAACTTAGGTTTTTCCTTTTTTTTTTTTTTTTCACCTTGAATACGAGATTGGTTCGTGGAAAGTTGAAAATTCTCTTTGGCAAGGTGATTTCTCTAAATCATTCAAGAAATGGATGATTTTTGCGTTTATTTTAGTTTAAGAGAATTTAAGATTATTGTGTATGATTAAAAGAATGTAAGATTGTTTAATAATATCTTATAGAGGAAAAAGGGGAAAGAGTAAAGGTGTTGTATAAAGAGATTGAGCAAATGTAAGTTAGAATAAGCTGGTTTCACCTGTGCTTTGCGTTCTGTTTTCTAGAAATAGTCTGTATTTTCCCATGAACATTGCGTTCTGTTTTCTTGCATTTTTATGTACTATCTTTCCACTTTCGATTGGAAAAATGCAAAATTTTAGGTCGGGAGATTATTTATAAATGATTTTATTCTGGGCCTCCATCTTTCAATCTATGAATGTGCCGTAGTCTGTCTGTATACTTGAACGTTGTTTAAATTTTGCACGATTTTGGTGTAGGGCGTAGACATATCTCGTACTCACAGCTTTAGCTCTTTTGAAAAAACAGGAATTAATATTTATTTCTTAACATTTTTATTGGTAAAAATAATAAAAAATTTTAAATTGTATCATTTTATTTAGATAAATTTATATTTTTATTACATTCAAATAAATTTTTGAATTCTAATTTGCATTTAAATAAATCATTAACTTTTAATTGGTATTAAAATAAACTTTCAACTTTTAATTTATACTTGCATAAACTTCAATAAATTTTTATTAAGTTCGAATTAAGTTTGAAAATTAAAATATATATATATATATATATTAAATTTGAATCAAATTTTTGTTCAAAAAATGAAAAAAAAATTGAACAAAACCAAATTATATACTTTTATTAACTTCATATTTTTAAAAATTTTTATAAAATAAAAATAATTAGTTTACATCTAAATTTATTTAAATATATTAAAATAATATATAAAAAATAATTAAATTTAAAAAATTAATGAAACAAATCAAACCAGTAAATTTTTATTCAAATCATATACAAGATTAATTCGAATTCAAATCAAAATTTAATAATTCATAATGCAATGCATTATCCTAAATTTAATATTTCATAATACTAGGCATTATCTGAAAAATCAAACCAAATCCATTACCAGACTCATATACTCATCCATGTCCCTATCTCTAAAATTTAATACACATCCTTATTTTCATTTAAATAAAAAGTCAAATTTCCTATCAGATTTAAATAAAATTGACGTCTTTAAATTTTTCATCAAATTTATTGAACATGATCAAACAATTTTATATGTCCAAAAATCCTAATTTGAAGTTTTATTTGTACCTAAAAAAAAACCCTATCAACCACATGATATATTAATAAACTATTAAACTCTTAATTATAATAATTTAATTCAAGTTATGACAGTTTTAAGTAAAAAGAAAAAGGCTGTTAGAATCCAGCTATGAGACAATGTTTCGTTTTGGATGTTCTATCCATGCTCGCAAAACAGACCCTCACATAACATTTGCCAGTAGAAATGCCCAATCTAAGATGAATAAAAGCACCTCTTGGCACTGACTTCTTTGAGCACCAAAAAAAAAAAAATGGTATTCACTTTGAAAATATTTACAAATGCCCTGTTAAGTGTTAAAAATTTACAGTGTTTTTACTTTGCCAAATGATCATAAAGAATCTGTAGCAATATTTACTGCACATGGCTAGCCTTGGGAGCAAATTCTTGAGGTTAGGAATGAAGACTTCTTGATGCAATTGATGCCCTGTTTGATAAATGAGTGAAACCAATGGTGATATAGGTTAGGTAATAAAACTGAAAACATATGCACACATACAAGTTGTGCACAATTTAAGAAAAATACAAATCTAAAACACTGACCATGCTTGTCTGCATCTGACAGCTTCTTGACGAACAGCTCTCTTCGGATCATCGAGAGCCTTTATTATAGCTCGTAGTACCTGCTAACAATGAAGATACAAATTTAAATGCATAAAAACAAAAAAAATCAACCGTGATGTGCGCATTTACATGCACAAAAAACAGAGAAGTCATAAAGACAAGATCATCATCGTTATCCAGGACTAAGAACTACCATTTTCCTGGCCTTGGTATATTCTAAAAGAAATATCTTGCAGCAAAGAGAGGTAGTAAAATGTTCCAGAAAAAAAAAAAAAATCTACTGCTTAATTGTTGACTAACCTGCATTCTCATGGGATAAATCCTTGCATGCGATAGCCCAGAAACGGCAACAAGACACTGAATGGCTGTCTCACGAACAAGCTTAAGATGCAAAGATAGAAAAAAAAAAAATTCAAACACCAACAGTATATATTGGTATTATATGGATTAAATGGAAATAGAATTACATGGAATTGCAGTTGTAAAATTCAAGGAAATGAATAGGACTATATACAATGGCATTGCCACTATCAGTACCCTACTTATTTTCTTCTCATTCTGAATTCTACTTTGGTTCCCTGGTATCTTTTTGGTAAGTTTGCTGATACTAAGGAAAACTATTTGTTTTCTATATATTCTTTGTGATTCTTTCTTCTAATTTGGAGTGATTTTAGCCCCACGGTTGCCCACCACAATAATAAATGACCACATTTACAATGCTTTGTTTTGAAGACAAAATGGAGAAATAACCTATGACCATGTGTACTAAATTAAGTAAACTATTTTTAGGCTCCATCTTCTTGGAATTTCAGTAGGTCCCACTGTCAACACATTTCCGTTGCGTATGAGGGGCTTTATTATCTCTCGTATAAGGTAATTTTGTTCATTATATTTCCTAAATATTCCCACACTTCAAAACAATGCACCTTTATCCACCCACAAATAGTTAGATTTGGACCTAAATATCAACGATAATCCTACCAATTTATTCTTGCTAAAAGGCAAAACTAATATCTTAATGCCAAGAACTTAAGCTGCACTTAAATGTGTAAATTCCGAAGCATTATTGGACTAGCATATGCAATAGAGTTGACCCAACAAGCAAAGCAGCAGTAATTCACTTGCCCCCAGTTGAATTACTGATGTAATCCAGCAATGAAGGGGAAAAAGATAGGAATTGGGACAATTGTAGCAGACAGAGGAGGCAATATTTGCAAATGAAAAGCAATAAAGTTATCTTAGGTGGGTAGGAAGTGACGGTTATTATTGGCCTTTCCCCCTTTTCTTTGGGTTGGGGAGAAGGGGTGGCAGGTGGGAGAGGGGGCATTCATAGAATAAATTCTGTACTTAAGAGCAAAAGAAAGATAAACAAAAATATTTATTCTCCTTGAAAATATTTCTATTACCATCATATGAGGGTATTGAATAAGATCAATGAGACAATTGACGATAGTATGTGCACTATCTGAAACAGCTTTTTGACCTGCATGCATACCCAATATTTATAAAAACATCAGTAGGAAACTCGAATGGATAATCACTCTAAATGTAAAATCCTAATGTGATAGTACAATAAAATAATTTTACAGTGAGGGTGCCCTGTTTGATGGCTTTGTAGTTATATGCTGGCAAGCTTTATGGAACTCACCTAACAACTAGAGAAATATTTCTGGCAAGCATTTCAAAAGTATGCCAAAATACATCTAGAGAAATAAATGTTGACCAACATACTACAACAACCCAAAATAAAATTATCTATGTTGCTACAGTAAATGAAAAAGTAATACACACACAAAAGTGAAAAGTAATAATTCAACATAAAAGAAAGTAATTAGTTTTGAAGAATTAACAAGTTTATTATCATAGATGACAAAATAAACAATTTACTTTCATGTACAACCATTCTGGTAAAGTTGGTTTCTTTTTCTACCATTTACTCATTTTTAACTAATAAAGTTTTTGCGATATTTGCTTTACTGTAAAATTTAAGAAAGTAGAAATGCAATCATGCAGAGCTTAAGTGGTTTTTAAGAACGTAAATTAGCTATTAAGTAAGCTGTTCTATCGGATATTCAGTCTAAGAAATCTCTTTAGCTTCTATCTTTTCACAATAAATTAAAACCTTTAAGGATTAAATGTGTCAAAGAATGCATTTACCGAAGAGAAGTTCTAACAGATAATAACAATCTACCAATGTAGAATTAGGCTTACCATTTTTGTCCATCAATATTCCAGACAAGACTAGCAGGAGACCATATATAACATCTTTATCCAGAATATCATTGCTTAATGCAGATAAACCATCCAGCAGCATTGGAATTATCTACATAAATAAATTTTGGTTAGTGTAATAAACAACTTTCTTGAAGTGTCTAATATATCTGGAAAGGCTTAATCCATTGCAGAAAGTTTAATAATAAATTCCAATACTAACCTTTTTGGTATCACTCAAGACAACAATTAGTGGAGTATCCATAATAATATGTGCAGAAGCCCGAAATAGAAATGGTCTGAAATCACATTGCAGTTCAGTGAGAAATCAATCCAAATTGACCAACAAACCTTTCTACTATGTCTGGAGCTCAATCAATTCAATTATGTAATCAGTGCTTGAGAAACAAGTAGCCACAAAGTTAAGTAGCTCAATATGCAGTTTTTGCTTGATCAGATCAATATAAAGAAAGAGGAACAAGGATGAGGATGAGGATGCAGAACCAGCTAGTAACAAGTCAGAACAGCAACAAAAATCTATCAATAATAGTCTGCATGCTGTCAATTTTGGCTTCCACTCTGGTTTTAATTTGATTTTATTGATACATTAAAATCTTTATTGCGGTTTGAAATTGCTTTTACCTTTGCTTTATAGTTTAATGTTATTCATCACTAAATGATTGCAATAATAACTAAACATATGCAGACAACATGCTTAAAAAAGTTGACAACTTAAGAATTCACAAAAATAATTTGCCTTATTTCAGTCTCACTGCTTGTTGAAACAGAATATAAATAAGTCTTGCAGGTGTAAGCAAGCCTGTTCTGATATCAGAATATTTTTCTAATATTTAACCCAGAAAAAGACAAATGAACTAATGTAGTGTTAATATATTCACATAGTAGTGTCCTATACGATATATAGGTAAGAGATGTAGGGACTACACTTAGCCAACATACTTCAAGTAGAGAAGATTGAAATACATGCAGATGTGGTTATGATGTGACAAAGCAGCAAAGTAATGAAATTTAAGCTGTATCACTAACTGGGCCTATTGTCAAAATGTTGAGAATGAACTATAAGCAACAACAATCAAATTCAGCTTCACAATTTATTATTTCATATCTTCGCAAAAGACATTCAAGCATGCACTACACCTGACAAAATGAAAATGGGTACTAATATATATACATGATATGATAAAAACCAGAAAAAAAAAATAAAGAAAGATCATTTTTACCTTGAGAGTGGTTCAGATTTCATAACTAAAGACTGTAAAAGGGGCATCATTGTTGAGAAAAACCGTTGCTTATAAAGAGGTCGTATTACTGCATGGAAGTCCCGATTCAAACACAGTTCAGAGTCACCCATAAGAATCTGAAATGCATCGGCTGCACTTTTCATCACAGAATGATGCAAATCAAGCTCATAACTGTTCTCTGAGACACTCTTTTCCTGATGAGAGATATCTGCTACTCCACTTGGCTGTAAGCACTGTAAAAAGATCATAGTCATGTCTTTAACTTTTTCATGGCCCCGCATAAGCAAACCTTTTCCAATCCATGCAAGTCCAACAATCGCATGGATTTGAAGGGAGGTACAACTTATGTCATGGACAACGGTCATTTTAGCTTGAATATCAGGGGAACGATCATTGTGGAAAATCCATAAACTCGAGTTAAGAATTATATCCATTGCTTCCTCCAAGGTACAATCACTTGAAGTTTGTCCTCCAGAACCCAATTTGTTAACCATAGAGCCCAATGCTTGGGCTGCTGCAACATTACCCTTGAGGAGGGTTATCATGAACAGATAAAGCATTGGTCTTATATTCGGAATGTGGGTTCGAGGATGAACTGCTATAATTACTGCTGCAAAAAGTGAAAGAATCCATTCATCTCTAATGGAACTATCATCCACTACTTGAGCAATTTGAAACCCTTCCTGCAGGAACAGCTCCTTCAATGGAAAAGAAGTGCTTGATGAAAGAATACTGTAACTCTTTTGTACAATTATGTTTTGCTTTTCCACTGAACAACTTGCAACAGCAAGCTTCATTGCTTTCATCATCACATCAAGAACTCCCTTAAATAAAAAAATTAAAAATTAAAAATTTAGTGCCACATAACCCCAAGGACTAAGGCGAAGTTCCAATACAAACTCAAAAAACTCACTCTTTCTTTGGTTTGAGTAGCATGGAAAACCATGCTATTCTCAATTTGGTTCCAAATATTAATAGCAAAATGCAATAGAACATCTTCAAGACCCTTCGCACAACATATCCTGCATCCATGATAACAAAAATTTTGCATCAAATAGAAAAAAAGAGTGGATGAGGGAGAAGAAAGAACCATTTTCCAACCTCCCACCCCAAAATAAATAAATAAATAGAAGGAACAAGAACATTTGAGGTAGAGTTATATACCATGGTATCACCTTATTAGAATAGCATTTCAAAAGTTGAGTCACAATTTCTGCTGAATTTGTACTTCCATGGACCTAAGCAAACAGAAGGCAACATTGAAATATCATCAATCATACGAGCAGCAACTGATTTTACATGGGAAAAGAAAAATACGAAAGGAAAAAAAGCCCATAGGAAAAATATCAGGGAAGGCTTTTAACATGTTGTCATTGCAGTAGAGTTGGCCATGTTAAGAACAGTGAAAAGTAATGACCTATCCAAATATTACCAGAAAACATCTTTAAAAAAAATTAAAATCTTTCACATGATAGTTATTTGATGAATAAAAATTTATAGGCCAAACATAAACCTTAGATAAATTGGCATATATTGTTCCTTCCAACCCTTGAACGACTTTCAGCATATAACTTTGTCCGCTTGTGCCAATTTCCAAGAGTGCTTCTACCCTGAGTGTAAATGGCATGCTAAAATCATCCACAGAAGCCAATGAAACAATTCTTTCAACAACAATGCCCAAATAGCTTAGTTCCTTTTCAGATTCATGGTATCTTTCAATAAATAAGCCAATCTGCACGAGGGCTTTCAGTGCGAGTTTCCACAGTAATGTGTTGCTATAATCCACATTGACAATTGATACAAATGTCACTAAGATCCTCTCAAACACAGTTTTCGGTATCAGAAAATAGCCTCCAGGGAAGGTAGCCAAAATCAGCAATCCTTTTACTGCATGTTAAATCGAAACAAAAACAAAACAAATCAATGATTTTGATTTTACTGACTAAAATGGAAAGGGGGGTGAATGGTGGACCTGAACCAGAAAATTTTACACAGCTAATCGTTGCAAAACATTATAGATAGTATAAAATAATAAATTAAATCATATGATAAAGTTTTTCTAATCTCTAAACTGTGTGTAGAGAGAGAGAGAGAGAGAGTCAAAGTAATTGATCGGGACAAAGCCAAGTCCGGAAAAATCACACTGTAGCATTTTTAAGTATATGATAATTTCCACTTGAATCAGAAATCATGGTCAGTGGCTTTTATTAATAACTACGGGCAAAAGATTGACAGGATTGAGAAAATGTAATATGAACAATTACACCAGAGGCACCATGAACAAATCAGTATGCAAGTCTGTGCTGAAGATTGAAGATACGCACAAAAATCATATCTACTGCATTGAAAGACAAAAGCATTCACCTCCAAAGTACATGTCTGCATTATGAGTATCTTCACTAGTGCAAATGAAGGCAGAACAGAAGGCCATAGTTAGTGAAGGAGAAAAGTTTTGAAGCAAATACTTCCATGTTTCTTCTGTATGAGCAGATGCTGCTGGGATTGTTTCAGAACTAGCAACCAAATCTCTGCATGCTGAAAGGAGCTCAATGCTGAGATAGAGGGCTCCGTGATTACATCTTTTGGAAATCAAAATACCCTCATCTGAAGATGGATGTCCAGATGAGTTTCTAACAGAAAGACCCAGAATATTCATCAATTGGCTGAAGAAACATTCAAAAACTCTATTGCATGACAATGTTGAAGCCTTAGCAGAAGTAGAAAGGATACGACCAACTGCATGCAGTCTCTGCTTGCTCTGTGGAGGAATTTCGTGGTAAGTCTCATAACTAGAGATCATATTGAAGATCATTTTTATGTCTTCATCACCAACAATTAAATCTAAAAACATCTTTGTATTTTGCACAATAAGCTTTTGTAAAAGACTTAGTGCTTCTGCTGCAATTTCATTTTCTGGAAGGTCTAGACCTTCAAGGGATTCTGGATTAAAGGATAAAACACTGTCAACTGAAGTAAATACTGCATCTTTTAATGAAGACCAAATAGCTTCGCCATGTTTTGCCATTCTGTCTACTCCATACTTCACTGTGCAATCACTGAGATACCTCAAAGAATCAACCTGCGAACAAGCATAATTGGCATTCAATAGATTTGACATTTTAAGAGACACTCCTATAGCCTGAAAATGAAGATTAGATCATTGAATAGCTTCAAACAACAGCCCCATTTCAATTGCACAGACCTTCGCTGATGGAAGTGAAGAAGAAAGCTTCTCGAGGAGTAATGGAATGGCAAATGGCTCAAAAAGAGGTGTGGACGAAAATGCTAGCTGCAAGAATTAAAAATAAATAAACAGATCAGACATGTAACACAAATTAAAATACTAATGTTATGAGAAAAGAAATATGATCATATGATTCACAAGATACACATATCGTGTAACAAATCAGTTATTTTTTACTAAATTTTTAACCGGCAAACCATTCTTATTGTATGACAAATAATAAAACAATCCTTTCTGTCAGTGGGTAAAAGTAATACAACTTAAACTACAAGAAAATTTTAAGAATGCCTCTTTATTTAAAAATGTTGGTCTTATCCAAAATTCTAAAACATGTTTCAACCACATTCTTGAGTTTCCATTCTTTCTTTTTGTACTATTTACATGGTTTCATATCTATTAAAGAAATCGAAGAAGTAAATTGTATTTTTGTTACAAGAATTAGAAAATTAGGAAAAAGAAAATACAGCACCATAATGATAGATGAAAATGTGCAAATAGAAGAGATCAAATGATAATAGTAAACCAATGGAGGGAAAGAATCCTTGGGGTACACCCTTTTCCAAGATCCTCCTTACTGTTCTGATAAATTCTCATTTCATTAACTAATCACAAGTTTGCTCCAAAAAGAGGCATTAAGGGGAAGAAATGAGCTCGCTGACATTTTGGGATCAGCATAAATGAGCGGAGAAAACAAAGAAAAAAAGCAGAGGTATATAATGTATTTCTGGTAAAGCAAAGTGAATACAGCAATGTATCTTTCCTAAGAATCTGAGCTCCACATCTGGAAATCAATTACTAGCAACAACTACAAGATGAATTTAAGAATTGTGTACAATTTTTTCCACCTGGAAGCCAAAAGTACATAACAGCATTCGTAACAATGGATAACCCAATTTTGGACAAGAGACTAAGTGCTTAACCTGTAAAGAGAGAGAAGTTTCAACAGAAGAAGTACATACCATTAATGCTTTTGCAAGATCATCCCTTTTGACATTCGCATCTTCAACTTTAGGCTGGAGAATACAAGAAAGAGATCCACATATCATAAATCAAAGCCTCTTATTATACATATTCTAATAGATTTCATGCACACACTACTTTATTGTCAGCACTAGTCCATGACTGAGCATATAGCTGCTTTTTAAAAATCTCTCCCATTGTACTATAAAGGCTAATGGCTTTAAAGTACTACTTGTATTTAACCAGAGAACAATGACTAGAACATTGGACATCAATATATTTAACCAGAGAGCAGTGACCAGAACGTTGGGCAATAATTGAGCTCCAGCTTTCACAGGGGTTGAAAATAAGAACAATAATATTGGTAACAGTGATGGTATGAATTTAAAAACAAAAAAGAAAAGGAACATCAAAATATGAACCTCTTTTTTAAATAAAGGTCATCAAAAAGGTCATCAGATTTATGGTCCTTAATTCTTCCAACATTATTTACATCTAATATAATGACCTCAGGGCTAACAGAAGTGCAATAACAAGTTGACTAATTGTCTTTAATAAGTTGATAAAAATTAAAAATAATTTCTGATATTTGATTCAAAGATTCAAAAATGAAATTCCACACGTGTCACTCATTAGTTCTTAGGAAAACTTGTATTGACAGTTTAAATTTCATCAGATCTATAATGCAGTTTTCCACACTCGTATCTTAAAAGTATATGACAGCTCATTAATATAGCAGAGTAGGCATGCATACAGCTTACATGTGTAAAATGAATAGGAAAGTAACAGCCCAAAATCTCAAAAAGGTCATGAGCAAAACTGGCAAGGGGACCACAAGGATCAGGGAACAGTCGCGATAGAACCTCAATAATGTGAAATGTTAACATCAAGCAATGAGGATCCTTTTCTCCGTCAACAGCTTCACAGATTCCATAAATAAGGTTATCACCCTGGACCACAAATGAGCAATGAGAATCTTATCAACAGAAAACTGAAAAAAAAAAAAAAAAGTTGAAAATTGAGATGTTGCCAAACTTTTGAAGACTTCATATTGAACACATCATGTGGATGCGAGCACAGATGCTGGTATTTATGAGCACAAAAGGTAGTAAGAGAGAATCACAAGAGTTTATTTTCACGCTTTCTTTAGAAAATAGAAATTCTATATTTTCTCATTCCCCATTCATAGAGCAAAGCATCTCAATTGTGTACTATTACCATGTTTATTCCTTGCATGAATCACATATTTAGTGCAGTTCCAATGTTCCAAACAGAAACCTCTCCTCCAAGATTAATAAAATTTAAAGAATCTCATCTATAACAATGAGCAGAAGTACTTCTATAATGGTGTTTTAAACAAATCAACCACAAATGATTTTTTGGTGATATAGAATGATCTCAAAATTAAAAAAGATAGTTTCTAGTCTTCTCCCTTTTATTTTTTTTCTTCCAGTTAATCTTAACAGAGACATTTAGAACATGTGTTCCAAAATTTAAGCAATCACAGCAAGACCTAGGAGATTGCATCAATTAATTTCCTTTATTCTTCATTAAATTCATTACATTATTACCTCTAACACGCAAAAATAATACATAAAAAAAAAGAAGAAAATAAGTCCAATAAAGTATGCACTGAAGAAAACAAGCTCAGAAAACATACCAGTGAAGCAACAGCATTGGGGTAGCGTTCTAGTAGGCTTTCCAGAAGTTCAAAGCAAAGCTGCAAGAAGGTCCATTTAAAAGATACAGTGAAACAGCTAACACTTGAAAGAATCAATAATATATATATGATCTGGCTGATAACTATTTCCTGGAAGGCAATCAAATAAAGGTCTACATATGATCATTTGTTATAGGAATATCAAATAATCTTTACCTTCCGTTCATACTGTCCTAGTGACTGCACTTGTAGGTTCTGTAAATAGGACTCTGCAACTGCTTTTGCATCATTTCCACTGACCATACCACCACTGCTTTTCCTCCTCATCAGGGCCAAACAGCCAACAAGTGCTCCTCGTAAAGCTCTCCAGTCTGCCTGATGTAGTAAAATTATCATCTATCTAATTCTAAAATTAGAATGTAATACATAACATGGTCATTATGAACAATAAGGAGAGCCCAGGTCCAGTTGGTGGCACCAAATTGTGACTAACTTATGGAAAGTGCAAGATAAAGTTAAAAAAAGTGTTTCAAATTTACATATGAAGCTACTATCCAGATAGAGAAAGGTTTAAACTCAAAATGCCCAGCATGAATTCTAATAAGATGCAAAAATAATAATGAAACTTTCAAATAAAAGTAACATGTAGATTCAAAATTATGTAAAATGTGTTCTCATTTGTTTTAAGTGAACTATATTATTGATTGTGAATGCTAAACTCACCAATCTGTCCATGAAAAATCCTATCAAGCTATGAATAGGAGCATCATCCAATGGTTTTGATGCAAGGTGAACAAGAACTTCACCAAGAAGGAGAATACCTGGAAAAAGACACCATATAACAAGAAACTCAATCATCATTTATTTATTTATTTTTCCAAATAATGTTTAAATGAATATGAAAGAATGGAAGAAATAATATGCTTGTAAGGGTACAGGCATGAAGTTATAGATTGAGCAGTTGATTAAGCACTAAATCCAGACATTCTCCAAAATATCAACACAACAAAAACAAATACAGCACTGACAATCAGTTGAATTTTAGTACCTCTAGCACGAATAATGTTGTCCGTGGTGGTCAAATACCCTTCCATCTCCCTAACCTATTATCTCAAGTTAAAAGAAAAATGAAAGAAGAAAGTAAACAACATATAACCCAAAAAAGTCCACACACGAAAATGAAAAATAAATACATAATAAATAAGTGAAGTAAAAGATCCCAAAAAAAAAAAAAAAAAGAGGCAACCTTCCTTCAAATCAACTGAAGCATACCAGTGTTTCTATTGTTAACTGATCATTCTTCAACAATGAAGCAATGGCCTCCAAACTTGCAGCCTATATAGCGATATAAACATAAAAATTCCAAAATATTCGAATTTATATGACAGAAAAATAATTGAATTTATTCAACACATAATTCGGAGCTTGAAATACTCAATTTAAGTGAGACAAAATCAGTTTTTACCAGTTATTCGATAATTTCAATTCAAATTTGATTTTTTTCCATAGTCACAAACTGTTCAGAAAGAGAAATTGTGTTGAAATTTAAGAAATTTAAAAACTAAAAGTTACAGAAATTTTAAAGAAATTGGGGGAATGGAGAGTGAACCTGTTGACCCGGAGAATGAGACGAATCAACGAACGATTCAATGTGCTGAATGAGTTGACTCGTTTCTGCCATTGTTTTGTGCGAATTTGAGAACTAGGGTTTTAGAGCAAAGAGAAAAACAGACAGAAAAAGAAGGGTTTAGGAGTTTGAAGCTTAAACGGTGTTATTTAATCTAACCGTAAAAAAAAGAAGGTTTACTGGGAAAGTAAAGGAAGGGTTTGTAGAAATTGTTATTTGTGGAATGACCCCCAGACAAAATTCGTTTTACTTTTTGGTTTTTTGGTCAACTTTAATTTTCTACTAATATTAAAGAAGTCAACTTTTTATTTTTAAATTGAGTCAGTATTATGTGCCTATATTTTCTGCTAAAAAAATGGGTTTAAATTTCTTTTAGCCATTAGTAACAAATAAAAATAAGTGTCCATCTTCAAACATCTAATTTTAATGTGAAGTTAACCTTTTTATATATTATATTATGATTCAAACTCAACATCTTTAGCTCTAAAATTAATTCTAATATCTGCTAAACTCTTGTAGGTGAACATTTAGATTTTGTTAAACAAAATCAATGGATATTTGGAATAGCTTGAGTTTCAATTCAGGATTCTTTTACATTTTCCCACCACAATCGAATTACTAAATTGGGATTATGAAGATTGTTGCAATGGTTTTTGCTTTTAGGGACTGTCATATTTTTCATTGGAAATTAGTATGAAAAAGCAAAGACTAGAGAAAAAAAAAAAAAAAAAAGCTAAGAGAGAGAAAATCACAGAACTCTCCCCAACTAATAAAAAAGGTTGGGGAATATCGGGGCAGTGACTGGCCCTAGCATTGGGCAAAAAGGTTTATAGGAAATGTGTTTCTCAATTAAAAAGCTCTCACAAATTCTACTAAATTTTTTTTTGTCGTCTAATTGAAATTTAATTTCATGTTGATGAACCATAACTTACTAAGAAAGAGACATTCTCATCCCAATTCAAACTCTATTGAGCTTGTTTCTCATCCTTTCTTTGTATGCATGGTACTTCATGGAATTCTGCAGAAGAGTGGAAGTTTGTGTATGTGCATGATGTTCTAGAGCTCTTCTTACTTTTGTGCATCCGAAAATGGAAATTCATTACATTAAACAGGCAAAATACATGTATTTTCGATGGTATTTATGTGGTAAAATTCTCTAAGATACTTGAAAAGCCATGAGACTCCAAGAAATTTGGGGATAAAAAAACCACTAGTTACAAATAAGCATTGAGCGGTCATGAAGAGTGGTGTCATCTCAAACCATCTGATATTGGACCTTCATCATCACATGAAACCTCATCCAGCATGTCAAGAAATCCCTTCCTAGCCGTCCTTTGAATTGCAGAGGCATTGTAACGAAGTCCACAAGTTGACACTGCTTCAAACTTTGTCCATAACTCTTTCTTTAGAGTACTCTCACCTGGACGTCTGCCTGTCCGCATTATGCTCTCTGGTTCCTTCCACGTTGGAGTTCTCTCTGCAAGTGCTAAGTTGTTGCCAGTATTTTCTGCAGAACAAGAGAATTTATGTTCAATTTACTGCTCAATCAATAACATCAGCGAGTTGATTTAATACAACATATATGTAATGAAATATACCTTGGTTAACCATCTTGTTTTGTTGGCAAGCATCTGTAACTTTCAAGAAAGACAATTCTGTTTGTTGAATTATAGCATTAGGAAGGTGGTGATCAGTGGCAACATCGTCTAGGGATTTCTCACCTGGTGGCTCCAACAAAATGCAACTTTTAGGAGGTGAGAATAACCACGTTGGTGAGGATTCCAGTTCTTTCTTCCCAAATCCTGATTTATAAGTTCGTTGTATGCCTAGTAGTTCTGGATACTTCACAGTCAGATCCTCAGAAGCTTCACCGCCAGAGGATTCAGAAAAACCACTGTTGTTAATTCCAAAGGGAAACGGGGTAGACTTGCGAACTCCATAATCACCTTTAGGTGAGAACTGATGAATCGGTTCAAGCAGCACACAAGATTTAGGAGGCGACATTTTTAAGAATGGAGTCATGACAAGAATGGAATGGTCTGTTTTTGAAAATGCTGGCGAAGAAACAAACCCACAATTCAATGTCTTATCCATTAATTCAGCCACAACAGAATCAGAAGGCTTAGTTGGAGTTTTCTTTATAGAAACACCTTCAAGCAAATCATCATTTTCATCCCCAGGAATGTTGAGAAAAGATGGTAGCTCAACAGTAGATTTGGAAGTAATCCTTTCGAATACAGGTTTAGACGAATCATTCATCTTTGAAGACAATGCTTTTGACATAGGAAGAGGTGTGAGCAGAAACAGCTGTCTACCTCTCTCAACATTACAGTCAACAGCACGCCAAGACACAAGGGGAGAAGGAGAGATTAACGAGTCCAACGAGGTTTCTTCTGGACTCCCAACATCAAAGCATTCCGTTTCATTTACATTTACAAAAGGAATAGTTTCACTTTCCAAACATTGTCCAGACTGATCTTTGTATTCGCCAGCAGAAGGGCTCGAAAGCACCTTCTGGAATCTGGGAACCCAAGGCTGCAATTATAGAACAAAACAAGACATGTTAAATCTGCAACAAATACATTCAAATTGAAGTGATATATACTGTAGAAAATTAACTTAAAGGATTAACCTTTAGAGAGGAAAGCATTTCGAAAATGACATTCGTGAAAGATTCAATTTCTTTTGTCCCGTGTTCTGTTGCCTTGAGCTTAAAAGCTTGCGCTACAAGTTCATCAATCTGCGTTTCCAAACATAAATTGGTGAATATCAAGTTAGATTACAAAATCAAAGAAATCTATCTAACACAAAATCAAAATTGAAGAAACAAAAAGTAATAAGATGAAAAAGAAGATTATATAAACTCGTATATGTTTACATAATTTTGGCATATTTTCTTACCAACCAAACAGAAGCTAAACCCTTACCAAATACATTTAATCAAATTTTGGTAAAAAGAAAAATTAAAATTTTATTTGGTCATACTTGGCGAAGGAGAGAAGAAAGATCTGACTGAAGGAGAAGGAGGCGATCGAGAGAGGCGTGGCTTTGATAATTATGCTTGTCGGGCATTTTCTTCCTCGGAATCTCTGATTTGGAGAAACTCCTTGTGCTATTATTGTTGGATAAATCGCTCAGCGGTCTCCTTACCGATTTCGCCTTCGAGTCCGTTCTCCGCATCCTCTTCCTTTTGTTTTTTTCTTTTTCTTCTGAAGAATTTTCTTCTTTTCTTTCTTCCTCTAGATTTTGTGCCGTTGGGTTTTTGAACTTTTTGTAGGCGAGGGCTAGTTCTATTTTCCTCTGTTATAGTTTTTAATTATTATTTATTTTTAGATCCGAATGTTAAGAGATGATGGGTCGGGTTGAAGAAAAACTTACGGCCTAGGCCTCGGAAAATTTTACTATAGTATTTTTAATTTTGGGCGAACCAGTGGTACTACACTATAATTGAAGTGTTTTTTTTTTTTTTTCTTTCCATAATTGATTTATTCATTCATAAACATAGGTTTGACTTTCTTTAAATTTTTATGCTAATATATTAAAATAAAAAAAAATTCCTGACCAAGGATTCAGCTCTTGTTTGGTAAATAAAGAGGTCATTGTTTAAGAATAAAAAAATAATTTTTAAATTTTAAATTTTAAATTTATTAAATATTATTTTTTAATTATAATTATATAAACCGAGTTAAATTTTAAGTTCATTCATGAATTTTATTAGCTTGATCTTATCTTAAGCCTTAAACCATGAAGATTAATGGGCATAACAATGACCATACTAGAGACTATCATTGATGTTCTTATATCATTTTTTATAAATGCTCAAACAGTAGTATTAAATTTTGTTATCGTAAATTGATAAAATTGAAGGAATTTAGATAAAACGAGATTAAAAGGTAAAATGTACCACTACATTATATTGAATTTTGACATTTTGACACCTTCCATCCATGCTTGAAATGGCATGGTTAATTAAAACTACTTGGATTAAGCAAAAGTGGAAAACAGGTAAGTGAATTGTCCAAATAGAGGGCAACACTCAAATGGTAAGACTTCCCAATAAAAGGAAAGATCCAATGTCCTAATCTTCTAAACAAGCAAGCTGACACTTAAATGGAGCCATCTAAGAGTGTTTATAATTTGGTTTTAATTGAATTAATTTATCGAATCAATTTAATTTTGTTAATCGATGGGTTATCAAATTAATTTTAATTAATTATTGAAAATAATTTTTTAAAATTTCAATTTTTAGTTAATTCGGTTCGAAAATTAAATTAATTAAAATTTTAATCAAAATATTATTAAACCTATATATAAAACTAAAAATATATAAATTTGTTCATTTCATTTTAAGTTATTAGAGTTTTTAACATCAAAATAATTATTGATGTTTGAATATTATGTTTGATGATTTTATTTAATTTGTTTTACATATGAAAAAAATAAAATTTTAAAATAAAATTTATTTTATTTTATTTTATTATTTGATTAACAAAAAAAATTAATCGAATCGATCGAAGTAATTTTGATCAATTAATTTTAAAATTAAAAACTTTATTCATTTAATAAAAATAAAATCATATAATTCAATTAATTGAATTTTAAATAATTTAATTCGAAATTAATCTAACCGATAATCATCTCTCTCGACTTTATCAATACCATTGACCCTTAAAGCCACTTAGTGCTAGCAAGCCAACTAAAGATACATGCCCGTTTGAAAGGGTTTGGGGTTTCCAGTGCCGTTTCAGGGTTAAAAGCTTCAGTAAGAATCCTTCTTACTGCATTGCTCTCGTCCAGTCAAATATACTCTTAACGAATTAACATCCTCTTTCCAACAAGGTCATGTTTTTTGTATGTTCAAATAAAAAAGTTGTAATTTTGATATTAGTGTAGGGTAGGGTTACAACTTGCAACTAAACGAGTCAAGTGGTTCACAGCTGACTGGAAAACTTTGCGCTCAATTTGTCCGCTGAATGAGTTGAAGTCAAGCCTTGAGACCAAGACTTTCATAATGTAGCAGATTTTCAAAAGCTTTTGAGCAGATATTAATCACTTTTTCAATACAGATTGTATTCAAATTTTGGTTCAAACTCACTATAAAACTCAAACTTTTAAATGGGTTCAGGACTTCAAGCTAAATCTGAAAGCATCAAACGAGGTGGATTAATGTTTTTTGCAGCCTCAAAACTTTGCAGTTTAGGATATGAGTTGGTTGGGATGGGATAGCAATATCTCGATAATGTTTGCGTTGATCCTCTTTTGCAGACCTTATGAAACTGTGCCAAACCTCCTTTTTCATATTGTCCAAATTAAATTACCCACGTTTTTTTTTCTTTTTCTTTTTCTTTTAAAATATTTATGGACTTTTTTTTATCATCCATCTCTTCCTTCTTTATATTTTTTTAGCAAAAAAAAAAAAAAAATCAATGTAATACTAACTTTATGAATTAAATAAAATAATATTATTTAATAATTGGTCATGATTTAGATAAGTCATATGTCATCAAGACTTGAAGAATATTGATGTTGTAGCAAATGGGAAGTGGGTAAATTCCACATAGGTAACAATTTGTTTCACTTCATAGGTGATTAGGTAAAAACTTGGGCTAATAAATTATGAAAAGTTATTTCATTCTGTTAGAAATTAAAATACAAATTTTAAATTTTATACTATCCAAATTAATATAACAATACCTATTTTTTTAGAATATAGGAAAAAATTAAAAAAATATATAACATGTGATAGCATTTTAATTTCCTTTGTAAATTTTAAAAAAAATTTATTAAAAGTATATAAAAATAAACTAATAAATTATTTTCTACATATAAAAAAGTCCAAAAAGAATAACCAATTAAAACTTTATATCTTTGACAACATTAGGCCAAACATAATTTGTTAGATTTTAAAGAGTATAACATATTAAAATTAAAATACATTAATATCTTTGTGTATTAGTAATAAACTAATCCCATCATCAACTATCCTACACTTCTTTAAATATGACACAAGCACATAATTCAATGAAAGAAGACAAGTGTATACATCTTAAAATAAAAAAGATAAAAGTGTATTTTTTATATATTATAATATAAAAATAAGAGATTTTTGTACACCTATTGAGGACATTCTATTTGAAAGATTATCTCTTTTGTCATTTCCTTTCCCCCAGTCCGTCATCAAGCGTCCAAATGTCAAAGCACATGCACTTACTTTAGAGAAATTTTAGTGAGATGAAATGATAAAGGAGAAGAATTTTGATAGTAAGAAACAAAAGCCATAGGATCATATTGTACCATGGCACGTTGTTTCCCTTTTTGTTTTGTCACTTACGAATATATATTTAATATAGAAATAGAACATGGAAGGCAGAAATGCGTTCACACTAATCATTCCGAGCATATGGGCTTTTTCCCGTTTGATAAAGTCAAAAAAAAAAAAAAAAGGCTGGCTAGATAGTAGATACTTGACAAGAAAAGCACTTTGATAATTGAGAAATATGCCAATGGACAATTGTCGTAAAAATATTGATGCAAAACTCTTTCATATAAAGTTTGGGGTTTTGCATCATTTTGTGCTTATTAGCCCTGGCAATAGTGACTTTTTTTTCCTTTTTATGTGCCAAGATAGATTAATAAATATATATATATATACAAATTTTATTTCACATAAAAAATCTAACATGAGATAAAGAGAATAAATTATTTTGAGTTTTAAATTTATGGAAATTATTTTTTAAAAAAATAATTAAATAAATCAATTAGAGTAAAAGTTGAATTTTATATATACAACTTTTGAGACATGGGTATGAATGATTGGGGGAATTTTGTTGTGGTTGGAAAAAATGGAAACATTTACATTTTCTTAATTAGTATAATCTTGACTTTCATCATAAAATTCAAAGTAAGTAGACTCTTAAATCCTAATCCTAAAGGATTCTTAACTAATATAATTGGTTTGAGAATAAAATGAGGACCTCCTTTTGTAGAAAAAAGAAATCCGCTCTTATGCATGCATTGCATCATGGCTACGAATTCATAATATATAATTCATTTAACCAATAATAATTAACAAAAGAGTCTTTGTTTTTAATGGTGATTGTTATCTATATCTTGCTTTTCAAATCCACGCTTCTACTAGTCACAATCATACTCTCCCAAATTAAAGAATTTCATAATTATTTTTGTTGTTCTTGCCGCCCAAATTTAGACCTTATCCATTTATTCAGAAATTTTTAAAAATTTTCTTAACTCTCTTCATATTATTATTATATATGAAAAGGATGATTTTATTAGATTCAAGATTTAACTTAATCAGTTTAAACCATATTATTCTTTTTCGTTTGAACTTAAGTAAAATGAATGAGATGAGATTTGAATATAAAAATTAATCTTAAATTTAAGGGGTAAATCCGATCAGACAATATTATTCTCTCTCGTTTAAGTCATATGTAATGCAGTGCTTATCTTGCTTGCATTAAAGAAAAAGAAAAAAAAATCCTAAACTTGCCAAAATAATATTTGTTTTTAATAATTCAAAGAGAAAGGGTGGAGAAATCCGGAAGTGGGTCCAAGTGATCTTGAGCAAAAGTACAATATCGGCGCATGAAAAATTATATGCAAAGGGAAACAAGAGAAGACACAAAGGCAAACCAATTAAAACGACAGTGTGATGGAGCAATCAATGAAGCCAAGAAAAGTGATATATATATATATATATATATATACACGTATATATGAATCCAAAGTGATAGTGGGATCAATGCACATTTAGATGGAGAAGAGTTTGGTGGGGTCTCTGCCCATAAAGCAAAGTTGAGAAAGAAAGATATGCATCAACTCTCTATGTTGTGGTTTTGCTGTTTTTATGGCTGGTTGGTGTCTATTTTGGAACATTTAAAAACGTTTTATGAAAGAATAATTCATCCAAATTTGATTCAATTGGTAAGTTTGTTCGATTTTATATAAATGATTATTGGATTCAAATTGTATCAAGATAATTAGTTGTTGGTGTTAATTTTGAATGCGCTATGCTTAAACGAACCAAGTTGCTAGAGTTCTTCAATAAAGGGGGCTAAGCAGCCCATTTTAGCCGCAGCTCACGCAAAAGGCCACGGCTTAAAACCAAGCAAACAACTTCCAATGAAGAATGCAAAATGCATGCGAGATAGAAAGGTGGGCGTTGACGAGAAAGGGCGGGTAGGGTGGGATTTGATGTGGAGTTCACAAAGGCATTGTGGGACACCAACAAAGGGATCCCTCTTTG